TATATATATATTTAAACTTAAACTTTCTGGGGAACAATGTGTTTTTTACAGGACCCATCAGCTCCAAGTCAAGTTGTTGTCCTTCAATCTTTGTTGTGGAGGGCGCAAGCTCAGCTCCAAGTCCAGTTGCCATTTTCATTCTAGTTGCGGGGAGCGCAGCCCACCATCCCATGCGGGAATTGAACCGGCAACCTTGTTGTTCAGAGCACACGCTCTCACCAACTGAACATCTGGCCGCCCTGCATATTTTGTTTATGGCTACTTTTGACAGCAGTGGCAGAGTCGAATAGCTGCGACTAGGATACATAAATACCTACATTGTATCCTTAATTTTGTCTCTTGCTCCACAGAGCTTAAAAATTTGACTACCTGGCCCTTTATAGGAATAGTTTGCTAACCTCTGAATTAAGGGATTATTTTAGCATTTCAGGCAAGAGACTGCCCTGGGAGAGTAACAGTGGGGATGGAGAACACTGGATGAATTTGGGAACCACTCAGGAGGTAGACAGACCGACTGGGTACAAGGGGTGAAAGGAGAAAGAGTCTAAGATGACTCTCAGATCTCTTTTTTTTTTAAAAAGATTTTTATTGGGGAATTGGGGAGATGGGAACAGTGCTGGAGAATTGGGGGAAGGGGAACAGACAAGTTGCTGTCGTTTGTTCTTCAGTCTAGTTGTGGAGGACGTTGCTTCACTGGCCCAAGTTGGCATCATCATTGCTCTCTTTCCCGGGCAAGGCAGATCAGTTGCCGGCTTCTGGACGGCTGCTCACCGCGGCTGCTGGCCGCTCACACTGGCTGCTGTGCTACACACAGTAGCCCATGGCAACTCACTGCAGCAGGGACTGCAGCCCACGCCGTCGCCGGCGACTCACGGCAGCCCAGCTCCAGGTCGAGCTGCCATTCAGCATCTTAGCTGTGGAGGGCAGTGTCACTGGCCCTCATATGTGGGATCCGAACTGGGGCCCTCTGGCGTCCCAAGCCCGTTCCTAACCATCGCGCCACTCGGCCGGCCCTCAGATCTCTTGATTGAGCACTGAATGAATGGGGGATGATAGCCAGTCTGGGAATGCCAAGAGAAAGCGTGGAACTGGGGGGCAGGGGAAATATTGGGGCCAGGAGGGAAGAGTGAGGATAGTTTCCAGGCCTATTTTGTGTGACAGTCTGATTCCTGGAGTTATGCCATTTGTGTGTGTTCCCAAAGATGCTAAGAACAAACATCTCAAACTCTTTAGGGCCTGGGCGGCTAGTGTGGGGCACTTGGCATTCAAAAGGCTCTCCTGCTGTAAAGGCGAGCAGGTGCCTGTCTGAATTTCCAGTTGGGTCAGCATCAGTCCTGTCAAATCAGGGCCAGGCTCCAAAAAATGAAACCAAGCATCCCAAAACCCTAGGGAGGCACCGTGAGAAGGTGGTGTTGGCCCTAGGTGCCAAGTCCCCGCACATCCATTGCCTAGTTGTCTGGTGAGGTTGGATACTGGGGAGAGGGAGGGCCTGACTCTGCAGGTTTAGAGTAGCAGCCAAGTGAACTGATCCTTTGGGGGCCTTGGTTCCTGACGAGGTGTCGGGACAGTTGCTGAGGTGGCCAAGACCATCTGTTTACTTTATCACTGGTCCTGGGTTCCTGTTCTCTGGGGAGCGTCCTGGGCCTGGAAGGACTATTTCCTTGATGGCCTGCAGATGGCACCAAAGTGACACGATGGAAATGGAAGGCGTGGGGGCAGAGGGAGGACAGAGAAGCCTAACTGGTGTCTCTTCTCTAGGTCTGCTCCAACCTGGTAGGGGGGAGGCGTGACGTTCACAAAGCTTTCTTATTCTTTCTCCATTTCCTGCTCAGGCAAGAAACAGCCCTTGTTTCTGGGGCCAAGAAAGACTCCTTCAGGGCTGGAGGCGGGTGCTTTGTTGAGGGTGGACTGATGCCATTTATGTCCAGACACCCTCTCCTGTCCAGCTCAAGCCATTTCCTCCGTCTTCTGGCAGCTGGATCTGTAGGAATCGCTTCAGAGGCTTGCAGGGCACAGACCCCATCTCTGGGAAGCACCCTGGACCACACATCCTCCGCCACCCAGGCTCGCTCCCCATACTCCTTTCTCCAAATCTTTTCTTCCTCCTGGGCTGGGGGTGGGGTGGGGATAGGACTCCTTAAAGAGCAGACTGGAAGAGTAGGGAAAGGTGTGTGTCTAAAAGTGATGTGGTTTTTGGTCTTCACCTGTGAGCAGCCTGATCCTGGGAGAACACTGACGATGGAGCCATTGAGGTACTATCCCTACAGCCTCTCTCGTCTTAACTCTTCCCTGAGGGGCTCATTCTCCTTTCAGAGATGAGGACACTGAAAATGAGACTTGCCTAAGGTTGTGTGGTGCGGTAGGACCTGTGCCTGGGACAACGGACAAGTGTGAACTGCCAGCCCCATTCCGGATCCAAATACCAGCTTTGACCTCCCCACTCTTGCTCAAAGCAGAGGCCTGGCCAGTCTGATTCCAACGCTTCTGCTCTCCCAACACTGCTCAGTTTCCTCTGCCTCTCAGGACCAATGCCTTCAGCACAGGGCAGGGCATTTAGCTCGAAAGGGGGCTCAGGGCTAAGTGGAAGCGGTGGCAAGGGAGGGGACCTCTCAGGGTTGAGCTGACAACCCAGGGAGCTGTGCTGCTGGGAGGGGAGGGAGTTTGTGTCCTAGAGTCAGTGTCCACATTGCTGTGCTCCTGCTAGTCCCTGGCCGGCCTGTTCTGTCCACCTCTTCTGTGAATTGCTCCTGCCCATAGTGTTGGAAGCTTCCTTTTCAAAGGATTCTGGGAGTCCTGATGGCTGTGTGTGGGGTGACTCTCCAGTCCCTCTCTCTGCAAGGGTTTAGCCTTACCCAGGACCTCATACCTCCAGGCCAGCATTTCTGAAACTTCAGCCTACATCACAGTCACCTGGATGGCTTGTTGAAACGCATGGCTGGGCTCTACCCCTAGAATTTCTGATTCGGTAAATCTGGGGTGACTCTGAGGACTTATATATCTAACAAGTTCCCAGGTAATACTCAAGCTACTGGTTAGCGCCACTGTGCACTGCAAGATTAGCTTAGCAGGTCTGGGTTATCCAAACCTTGCACATGCCAAAGAAAAGTTTGATCCTTGTTTAGCTCCTGGGCGATAACTCCCAAGCCTGTCTGATAAGAGTGTCCTTGCTTACCTGGAGGCCTGGAACCACAGGATCGTCTACTATGCTAACAATGTGGTTGGTATATAGTGAGGGCCTTGGGCCACATGGTATCTGTTTAACCTCTGGAAGAGCTGAAGACTAAGGTCAGCCATGTCTACATGAGCAGCCTCCAATAAAAACCCTGGACACCAAGGCTCGGGTGAGCTTTCCTGGTTGGCAGTACTTCATGCATGTTGTCATACGTCATTGCTGGGAGGATTAAGTGCTGTCCCATAGCTCCACTTGGAGAGGAAACTGGAAGCTTGTGCCCGGTCTCTCCTGGACTCTGCTCCATGCACCTTTATCCTTTGCTGATTTTAAGTTGTGTCCTTTCACTGTGATAAACTATAACCCCGAGTCTAACAGCTTTGCTGAGGTCTGTGTGTCCTCCTGGTGAATCACTGAACCTAAGGGTGGTCTTGATGACCCCCCAGTGACAACCATACTTTGAGAACCACTACGTTGTGTTGTGGGATTAACTACTCTCAGATTCCTTTGCTTTAGGCTTTGGGGTCCCTGTACAAATGAAGTACCTCATAACTTGGCCTGAGGGTCACCTTTATAGAGTGCTTTGGCCTGAACCCCAGGTGACTCATCTCTACAGTCCAGGGGTCAGGGGGCTGTGAACTGCCTGGAAGCCTGGGTTTTGCTTCGTGGGGTAACCCTGAGCAGTCCTCCTGGGTCCCTGAGCCTTAGTCTTAGTCTTCCTAGCTGTAAATGGGGCTGTGGAGCAGTTCTGTCCTCCCTGGGTACGACACGGCCCCCAGAGCAGCCACATATGGCCAAGTTGATAGGGGGCATGCTGGCCTATGGGCGGGGGTAGTCCATTTCCCCTAGTTTCCCTGCTTCTAACAGCCAAGTCTGCCCATTACAGCTCTACTTACACGAGCCAGGGACCCTGGGGTGTTGGGGCCCACAGGTTTCAGTAGATCCTGCCACTCGGTGCTGCCCCTCCTGGGACCACCGTCAGGGCAGTGGCCCACATTCCACGGTACTTGGCCCTCCCTGCCCCATCCTGCCCAGGCCTAAGACCAGGTCCTTGATCCAACACAGGGAGGAAGGACCCTTAGCACCCGCTGGTTATGTGGCTTTATTTACAGACTCAGGGCTTGCTGAGGATGGAAGGAAAGAATATTTGGGGCCAGGCTGGGCCTGGAGATGAGGGTAGCTGGGAGGCCATGCATGGTGTGACTGGGGAGTTCACAGGAGAGGGCCTGTTGGCTGGGCCAGGCCTGTGCGGGGCGGCCAGAGGCAGGCAGCATGCGGGAGGCCTGGAGAGATCCGCATGGAGCAGGTGTATCCGGGTGATGGCTGTGAACCAGGAAGGGAGGGACAGGGGACTTCTCTGGAGCAGGAGTTACAGGTGTGAGGCTGGATAGCAGGTTCCCCTGCCCCTCACTCCCAGGGAAATGACAGAGTGGGACAGACAGGACACCTGGTGCCCGGTCCTGCTGCTGCCTTGGGACTTGATGTATGACTAGCCAAGCTGGTCCCCTCTGGTGTCATTGTTCTGCTGATGCTTGGACGTTTGCCTTGGGAGTGACCCACAAAGGGATGCTCTGGAGACATTGGTAGGGAGGCTGGAGAATCCTGGAGCGTGTGTCTAGGACCCAGGAGAGTGGGCTGTTCCTGCAGAGGGAGGGGATTCCCAGCCAGGGGCTGTTTCCTTTGAGCCAAGCTCTTCTCTCAGTGGTTTGTTTCAGTTCCCTGCTGTGGCCCCAGGGGGTGCCATCTCCTGCTGCCAATCCAGACCAGCCACTGGACCGAGGATGACTGTAATGGTAAACCTTCTTTCTCCTGGCCCGCCCTGCTGGCTCGGGACAGACTTCCTGCCTAAACGCAAACAAGAAATCCAAAGGCCAGATCCTCCTCCTGGGCCTTCTTCCTGGTGAAGAGCCCATTCCCACCCAGCAGGGAACAGAAAAACCAGTTCCCCGGGTTCTCTCCCTGCCTGGGAATAGCCAAGTTTGGAAAGTTGGCAGGGTCTCTCTGGGTTGCCCAGGAAGGTGACCTCGAGGCCTGGAAGCCTGGTGGGGACTGAGCAGGGCCCTGGGTCTGACTGAGGTCACAGCCCCTGCCTGCTCGCCTTCTACCCAGCTCTCCCAGGGACTGGGGTGGAGGGATGCGGGCGAGGGGCCCATCAGCACTGGCGGGAAGGGGTGCGGTGCACGGAGCCAGGGCGCTTGGGGATCTTGCGCCAGCGTCGCTTGTCCCAGCGGCAGAGCAGCAGCAGGCGGAAGGTGTCCCGGAAGGCCTTGTTGCAGAGTGCGTAGCACATGGGGTTGATGGTGCTGTTGACGTAGCACAGCCAGTAGCCCAGCTCCCACAGGGTCTCGGGAACACAGTCCTTGCAGAAAGTGGACACCAGCACCATGATGTTGTATGGGGTCCAGGTGAGGATGAAGGCCAGCAGGATGGCGCTCAGGGTCCGAGCTGCCTTCTTCTCCTTGACGAGCGAGAAGGTCTTCCGCTTGGCCAGCTGCTCCTTTCCACGGGGCTTCTGGCCCTTGCCCGTTCGCTCACGCCCCTTCCTGGTCGGCCTCTTGACTGTATTTGGGGAGCTCCGAGGGGGCTGCTTGGTGGGGGCCTGTGCTTCCGGGTCCACCATGGGCATTTTGATCACCACCTCAGAGCCAGGCTCCTCACCCTCTGAGGATGTGAGGGACTCCATGGAGCCTTCATCCTCCTCCTCTTCCTCCTTCCAGCTGTAGGCCTGCAGCAGCCTGGGGGCCCGGCAGCAGCGACAGCAGCGCCCTGGAGGGCTGTCCGGTGAGCCCTCAGCCCCCGGCTGGGACCGCTCTGAGCTGCTGCTGCTGCCACCCCCCTTACCTGGCGTCTCGGAACCCTGCAGGGCCGCCAGCTCCCTGGCCCGGTTTTCTGTTTCCCGATAGATGCGCCAGTATAGTGTGCACATGACTGTGACAGGGAGGTAGAAGGCGGCCATGGCTGTGCCAAAGGTGATGATAGGCTGTGAGAGGAACTGGATGTAGCACTGCCCGGCCAGCACCGTCCGCTCCCCCACCAGGTACTGCCAGAACAGGATGGCTGGGGCCCAGAGGACGAAGGAAACCAGCCAGGCCAGGCCGATCATCAGGGCCGCCCGGCGGGGTGTGCGCTTAGCACGGTAGCTCAGGGGCCGGGTCACGGAGAAGTAGCGGTCAAAGCTGATAAGCAGCAGGTTCATGACGGAGGCGTTGCTGGCTACGTAGTCCAGGGCCAGCCAGAGGTCACAGGCTAGTGTGCCCAGAGCCCAGTGGCCCATGAGCAGGTAGGTGGTGTAGAGGTTCATGGAGAAGGTGCCGATGATGAGGTCCGCGCAGGCCAGGCTGAGCAGGAAGTAGTTGTTGACTGTCTTGAGCTCTGTGTTGACCTTGAAGGAGATGAGTACCAGCAAGTTGCCTGTAACTGTGGCCAGTGACAGGAGGCCTGTGGTGATCCCAATGAAGGCCACTTGCCAGGGACCTTTTCCTGGTGCCAGGACGGTGATGTTGGGGCTGACAGCAGGTGGGGCTGAGGTATTCATGGCGGCCGGGTGGGGCTGGGGGGGCAGCCCCTTCCTCAAGTCACACGACAGGGCTTCCTCAGGGGGAGGTCGTCATCTGAAAAGAGAGGACATGGGCTTTGGTTGGGCTGCTGGATATCCCCCATAGCCTGGAGTGGAGGGTGCTAGGAACACAGCCTCTGCCCTCCCAGAGCTTCAGGCCAGACAGTGTCACCCTCCCCTACTGGCTGGTCCCTTCCTGTTCTGGTGTCCACACACAGTCATTTAGAACGCACATTCCCAGCACTGAATGGATTTGCCAGCAGCATGGAGGTGGGGTGGCTTTGGAATCCAGAGGTCTGAGTCCCCATTCTAGCTTCACCATTCAGACTCTAAGTCTCAACTTTCTCACTGGGACATTGCTACTAATTTCTGTCTTGCTTAACTGATGTGGAAGGAGTCGGGAGATTTACTTTGTATACAGTACTGCCAAATTTTCAAAGCATTTCACTCAATTTTATTAAAGCCCTCATTTACTGAGTAGTTGCTACACACCAGACACTTCATTGAATTATCTAATTTAACTCTTGTACATCTCTAGGAGGACGGTCTCTTGTGATCCTCATTTCACCAAGGCAACCCTGGCTCTGAGCGGCCACAAAGCCTGGCCACGGTGACACAGGTGGGGAGGACGATCGGAATCCACTTCTCTCTCTCACTCTTTGAGCTTGTGGCGTTCCAGTGGGATAATTCCATCAAACAAGGAAAAATAAGAAGGTAGGGGGTGAGGCTCCAGAGAAGATAAGGGGAAAGAGATGGGAGCAGAGGGGCGCTGTGTGTGTGTCTGACAGAGAGAGAGAGAGAGAGAGAGAGAAAGAGAGAGCCAGAGAGAGAGAGACAGAGAGAGAGAGAGAGAGAGAGAGAGAGAGAGAGAGAGAGAGAGAGAGAGAGAGAGAGGGAGAGAGAGGGAGAGAGAGGCGGTGTTTGGAGATGGATCTGACCCTCCATGAGGGCAGCAGGGAAAGTTGCCTGGGCCTGGACACTCCTGGTGGCAGAAGATCTGGAGTAAAAGCAGGCAGCAGGGGCGAGGGACTCAGCTCCCAGATAAGCGGGGGTCTGGCCCCAGATGGGGTGTGGGAGGCCCCCTCCATCTCCCCACTCTGTTCCAGGGTTCCAGCTGAGTGGGGGGCAGCTAGGGGAACAGGAAGATCCCCTAGGTTTTTCTTGAAGCTGGAGCCCAGCCCAGGAACTAAATGTGGGTAAGAGGAAAAGCGAGGGCTCTTAGCAACCTCCCGGTCTGGCAGGAGGCTCCCACAGCTCAGTCATGGCCTTGCCACTGTGTTTTGGCAGGTCCCTTCCTGTTCTGGGCCTTAGGTGTCCATCTGTCCATTGACAAGATTGGGGTTTCCTCCTGCAGGCCTGTAGCTGTAGCTACAGGGGCTATACCACTGGAGAAATTTCAAGACAGAGATTTAGGGCAAGGGCACACCAAGCCCTGGTGTTCCTGGGGACCTGTTCCGTGACCGAGACTAGAGTGCCATGCCTGTGAGGGGGTTGCTGAGTGATAGATGGCCTTGGGGGTGTGTGGCTGTGATGGTGTGTGACCCAGAGTGTCTGTGGCGGAGGCCATGGCTCATGGTAAGCTGTCAGTATGTGAGAGCGACTCTCAGTGTGGGGAGTTCAGAGTTTGACCCAGGGACAAGAAGGACTGTGGCTGTCAGTGCACATCTGGGACTGTTTGAATGTGAGGGGGCACATGTAACATCCTGGTAGAAGGACCTGGACTCTGGAGTCAGACTGTGTGCATTCAAAGCCAGGTTACACCATTTACTGGATGTGCGATCTCTGCTAGTGACATAACTTCTATGTGCCTCAGTTTCTTCAACTGAAAAGTGGGGATGATACTAGTCCCTAGCTCACAAATCAAGGAATTATTGTGAGGTTGAAATGAGTCAATAGATGTAAAGTGCCTAGAACAGCCCTGCCACATGGTAAGCATGGCTCCCATGGAGTCTTAACATGTGTGGCAATGGGGGCTCCCTCCTACCTAGCAATGTCTGCTTGTTTGATTAAAGATTTCTAATACGACAACAGCAACGAGTAGTAATACTGATCATTGCTGTTATTTAGTGCTCCCTGAGTGCCTGTTGTTGCTCAAAGCGCTAATTAATCTTCACCGGAGCCTATGAACTAGGTATTGCTCCATTTTACAGATGAAAAAACTGAGGCTGAGAAAAGCAAGAGAAATTGCCAGAAATACCGTATTTGCCGGCGTATAAGACGATTTTTTGGCCCTGAAAAATATGCCTCCAAGTGGGGAGTCGTCTTATACGCCAGGTACACTTCAGATAGACTGCCCATAGTGCTTGCCCCGTGCCATAGTGGCCTCCCGATGCCCGCCCACTTCATTCCACATACCGTTCAGGCATCAGCAGCGCTGCTGGGTGTATGCTCGGCTGTTATGCGATTTTGCTGTTATGCGATTTTACCACACTCGCAAAATCGCACACAGCCGACCACACAGCCGACCATATAACAAACTCTGTATTTTGAGTGGAAATGTTAGGGGGTCGTCTTATACGCCGAGTCGTCTTATATGCCGGCAAATACGGTACACAAGTAAGGTAGGAACCAGGATTTGAGCCCAAGCAGATTTGAGCCCAAGCAGTTTATAAAAACTGATGGTTGGTCCTGGGGGGCCATAGTTTGCCAATTTGAATTTTTAGAGGATTACATTAAAATGTTATTTATTTTGCTTACTGAGTTTTGTTGCACCCTCTTTCTTTAACCAAAGTCAGGCACTGGGTGGGAGGCCGGGATCAGATGCACCTGCTTGGGCTAACCCCGTGAGGCCGCAGGTAGACACCATCCGTGACAGGTTGCCCTGCGCAATGCTTGTCTCTGATCCAAACGCAGTGCTGTTTAATGCCCATTGCACAAATAGCACAACTGAGGCCCAGAGAAAAGGGGGGAAGAAGGCATTGTGTAGCGCAAGGCCTCCTGGCTTCCAGACTGGGTGCTGCTCCTCCCATCCCCCAACTCCCAGGTGCCTCTGAGCAGCTCTGTAGCCCCAAGTAGCAACCTGGGCTAAGCCCTGAAAAGGCCTTATTAGAAGAGGAACCTGCTGGTCTGAGAGGCCACTGAGAGGTGCAGCTGCAGGGGCCTCTTTCAATGGTGCAGCCTTGAACACGGGGCCAACCACTCTGTTCATTCATTCACCACTGTTCCCGGACCTTCTGCCACAGCAGGGCTAGGACTAGGGTGTGGCGAGTGAGGCACTTGCCTTGGGTCCAATCTTGAAGGTGGTGTGCAAAAACTCAGTAATCAAGAAAATAATAGTTTAATGTAATATTAAAAAAATGGAAATTAATGCGAAACATCTATCACAAGTAATTTTAAACAAAGACAGGTCCCAACCCTGAACTTGCACAAACATCCTGTCCCCCATGCCTCGCCCTAATCCTGGCGCTGGTTCCAATGAAACTTTATTTATGAAAGCAGATGGCCCACCTGCCCGTGGGCTGTGCTTTGCTATTTGATTTCTAAAAATATTACATTACAATAGTATTTATCTTGATTGGGGAGAGTCTTTTTGTGTCCCCTTAAATTTTACTCTGACCTTGATTCCTGCATTCCGGACCACACACAGCACTGGATCTGAAATCTCAGATCTGTCCCTTCCTAGCGGTGTGACCATAAGCAATCATTTAACCCTTCCTTTCCTAGCTGCCTGCATCCCCCAGCTGATGGGGGACAATAGCATCCAAAGTGCCTGACGCTGAAATGACAGTTAAAGGCCTCTGTTATTATTCCCGATTCCTCATTCTGATTCAGTACCCAGCCCCATTGGCCCTGCATCTTCTCCTCCAGATCCCAGGCACAGACCCTCTCTGGTCCCCAGATTGCTTGTTTGTACAGTGGAGGAGTTGAATGGATCAGCCTGGCATCTGTGGAGATTTTACAGAGTCCTAAGGTCAACATGTAAAGACGCTGAACAGAAAGGACCCAGGTCCCTGAGGCGAGGCTGCAGAGGCTGACAGCTTACTTAGGTTCTCTCAGCTGGGGCTGGAATGACATCTCTTCACAGTGGAAACATGGAAACCATTGCCCATCACAAGCTCTGGTTTGAAGCTAGCTAGGCTTTGATGAATTTATAAAAGGCTTCAGAATGGGGGATCTGGGAGAAGTGGTCCTTGGAAGTGAGGAGGTTGGCTGTCCCTCTCCTTAATGGCTGGAAGTCCCTTCCAACTCACTCATTTGAATAGCCATATTGACTGCCACCATAATTAATTACCTCCTGTGTGCCAGGCACTTGATGTGCGGTATTATTTCCCTCAATCCACAGGACACCCCAACAGGGGATCCTTATCTCTGTATTATAGGTGAAGACACAGGCTCGGGGACTAAGTGACTCCCTGATGATCTCACAGGGACTTTGCCTCTGACCTGTGGGCTCCAAGGCCTGCTTTCTTTCTACTTGGCTGATCTATGAGTTGTGAGGGCTAAGGTCTCCCATCTGGGGCAACTGGGGGAAGAAGGCTAGAGGTTCTGGGGAACTGGACCCCGATTCTTACCATCCCCTGGAACTTCTGAGCCCCTGAGATGCAGCTCAGAGCAGAGCTGTCAGTGACCCTACCTTTCCTCCACAAACCTCTCTTGACAGGGATTTGCTCAGGCGAAGGTTCCCAGAGGCCTGCTCTGGTCCCTGCTGTGTGACTTTAGGTCCCTGCTCTGGTCCCTGCTGTGTGACCTTGGGCAAGTCTCCTTAACTCTTAATTGGGGACAATTCTCTGCCTGTTCAAGGCTACTGGGGGTCAGCATGGTGATGGTTGTGAAAGAACCAGGCTTCCTCGTCCCTGGGGGGACAAGCCCTGGGCTGAGAGTTGGGGTGCCAGGGTTCAGCAATTGAGGCTTTGAGACCTTAAGGACCTTATAGCTAACTCATTGGCAATGAAACCAGGATTTGGACCCAGGCAGTCAGCCTCTAAGATTAACCTCTTGGACCACTACTCTAAACTGTTGTTGTGGGGATGCGGGACTCAGCGGCTTCCTTGCCCGCCTTGACTAGCTTGGCCAAACCCTAGTTTGAATCAGTCAATAGTGAGGAGCCAGTCATTCTTTAGAATCTGGTCGGTGTATATGTGTGTGACTGTGTCTGTTGTTATCTGTGCGATGTATGATGACAGTGTGAGGGGAAGGGGGCGGTCCTGCCATAGCTCTCTGAGAGGCAGGGTATGAGCTGTGTCTGCCTCATTCACTGCTTTACCCCAGTGCTTGGCACATAATAGTTGCTCAATAAATATTTGTAGAATAAATACATGAATGTGTACATGGGGTCCTCCTGCTTGGGCTTCAGGCCCAGGGGCATGAGGATGAGCCTGCAGGGGTCAGGGCCCGCTCCAGAGCACGGTCCCTTTGTTCCCTGCAGTGTCCCTGGGTGAGGTCCTGCCTGGCTTGAGAGCCCAGGAGAAGAACAGCCACGGGCATCCTCATCTGTGGACCAGGAAAGGACCAAGGAAGCCCAGCCTCACCTGCCACCAGCTGAGTCAGGTGTGACAGGAGAGGCATGGGTGTGGGGTGGTGCCTGTCAGTGTTAGGGGAGGAAAAAGTCTCCTGGACTCAAAGAGTTAAGGGATGAGGTCAGAGCCTCTAGCATGGCAGGCCAGACTATTGACCGTCAGCAGCCCTGGACCAATCCCCTGGGGCTGGGGATCTGGTTGATGAGAGGAGGGGGAGGGGAGAGAGTCACTGGGGGAGGCTGGGAGGGATTGCTGGGGAGAGGGATTCCTGAACACAAGTGTCTTCAGAATCTTACCACTGGCCAAGGAGTGGAGAAGGGGAGGAAGAGAATGAGGAGGTGCTGGGGAAGAGATCCAGAAAGGAGGAACGAAACCATCTTGTGATTCTGGGCTGGGAAGCTGGCAGAACCCTGACTGGAGAGAATGGGTAATATTGGAGAGGAGGAGGTGCGGGCTGTGGGGCTGGGCACCTGGGACCTCACTTGGGCAGTGAGAAGGGTGCTCCTTGGGCCAGGTCTCTTGACCTGTCCCTTCTGCTGGGGCTGTAACCCAGAAGCCAGCCTCTCAGAGGTGGCCCTCTCCCCCTGGGTTCACTTTTCACTGAAGGTTGCTCTTGACCCATTGAAGGTGCACAAAACTTCCACTTCTGATGCCTGGCCTTGGGAATGAGGGGGTAAACAGATACAGTGTATCACATAGTCAGGCTCCACAGTGACCACTGAGAGTGCCAGCTAGCCCTGAGGAGGGCAACAGCCATCGGTTAAATACTCATAAAGGCACTATTGAGCCGGAAGAGGAGCGTCAGCCCTAGAACCACTGCCAAATACTCTCGCTGTTGATGGGCCTTCACCAATGGCCTGACTTTAGCTGGACCGTGCCAGAGCCTGGCAGTCAGCAGGCTGGGCCCTAGACCTCATTCTGCCCAGAGGCATCAGAAGTGCTGGGCCCCTCATCCTCTTCTCCGCATGCAGCCTGCTCTTCACTCCTGGTCTCCCTTCCCTGTTTCCTTTCGTCTCCCTCCCTCCCTCCCCCATCCTTCTAGGCATCACCATGGCATCACAGCAGAGCAGAAACCTAGTGCGATATTCACCCACCTCTCCCCGCCAGTCAGAGCCCAAGCTTCTGCCTCATAGAGCTTGCGGCTCCCCACCCGTCATCCTGTTCAGGCAGGTGGGAGTGTAGCGCTGTGCCGAGGGCGAGGAGAACAGGGTCCAAGCCCCCACTGGACCCCTAAGTATCCCTTCTGTGACCACGAGCATATCCCTTCCCCTCTCTCAGCCTCAGTCTCTCCACCTGTACAGTGGGGAGGTTCCTTTCTAGGTCTGATGTGACCTCTGCCTAACCCTTTCTTGACATTCTGGAGTCCTCTTTGCACTTTGGGATTCAGCTGTCAGACCTCCAGGACCCAGCTGGGAAGCCAAGAGTCACATCTTATGCAGCTCCGTTTCGCCACCTCCTCCCCTGCCTTCTATATCACAGTGGCGATCACAGCTTGCCGAGGGCCTGAGGTCAGGGGGCAGAGAACTAACTCTCATCTGACAGCTCAGTGAGCAGCTGATTACCCAGGGACAGGAGACTGTCCGGCTGCAGGAGACAGCGGCACTCCTTCCGGCCAGTTAGGCAAGGCCTGGGTCAGTCTGGGTGGAGCTGCAGGTATGTTTTGTGGGAAAAGGTGGACCCCTGTCCACTGGCACTGATAACACCTGAGCAGCACTGTCTGAATGACCCAATGACAGCTGACCGCCCCTCCCCAGCTGCCAGCCCAGGAGCTGAAAACTGCAAGAATCAGAGCTCCTGGCCCCCAGCCCATCCCCACATTATGGAGCCTGGGGGTACTGGGATGGGTACCTGGCATGGGTGCCCATTACTGTCCATGCATAACCTGGGCATAGGACTGGGACCTGCCTTGTGGGAGCCCAAGATACTGTGGACATAGGGACGGTCCCCTGGGCCCCTGCACATGTTAGCGCCACGTTCTCTGGCCGGCATGGCCATCCATGTGCCCATTTGTCCCCGGAGAGCTCTGGGGCTCTTGGCCTGGTCTACTGCTGCCTTCTGGCCTGACACCCACCTTGGCATCCGGCTTGTCCATCTGGCCAGCTGCCTGGTTCAGTTCATCTTGGGAGGCTGAAGGTGGATGGGGATGGTGGGATTCAAGATTCCCTGAGGGCGGAGAGGAAGGGATTCTGGGGGGGTCAATCTCCCACAGGACGCTGATGGCAAGGGCTGCCCCTTGGCCCCCTACCCTTCCCATTCTATCCCTGGGGTTTTAGGGACTGCCTGCTACATGGCAGCATGATCTCTTCTGGGCTACAGGTCCAGTTTCCTAAGTGGGGTCTCCATCTCCTCTGCCAGCTGAACACCAGAAAAACCTAGGTGTATCCACTCAAAGCCAGGAGATGGGGCATGAGCCCCATCCAATGCTGCAGAGCCCCCTTAGCCTCTAGACCCCTCCCCAGGCCTCTCCGCTCTCTGAGGTCCATCCGCATTTCCTTCTAGTTTTGGTCCCCACCTTGCTCCCAGAACCCTTCTTCTTCAGCCCCCACCTCGGTGAAGCCCCTCCCAAAGCCTTCCAAATGTACTCACCATGGGGCTGGAGAGGGGTCTGTAGGGTCCTCAACCCCACTGCCTCCCTGGGGGCTGGCGGCGTCTCCAGGGACCCAAACACCTGGCTCCCAGGGGGAGCTGCACCCTGTGCTGGCAGCCGGAGAGGCACAGCCAGTGATTGGCATGTCCCACCCCCTGGCACGCCAGCCTGGGGGGTGGAGGGAGGAAGGGAAAGAGAGGGAGGGAGGAAAGGAAGGGAGGGGAGCTGGAGGAAAGCCTCAGGCAGCGTCTGGGGCTGGACTGGGTCCTGGAGCGGGACCCTCTACTCCACCAGGGTCCCCAATTCTAGCCACGAGAGGGAGGAGGTAGGACATGAGGAAGACAAGCCCAGGAAGACTAAAAGTCCAGCACGGGAGAGAAGGCGGATACAGGGAGACAAACACCCACACCCACTGCACACAGACTCGGCGGCACACACACACCCTCACAAAGGCACACTCTGTTTCCTTGGACTCCTTTCCCCACCCAACCTTAGAGCCCCCAACCCGCATGCACCGTGCCCCCCAACACCCCCCCTGGTATTCACGCGCCTCTTTCCTCATACACGCCCTGCCCCCTGCACATGCCCACGCACCCACCCACCCACCCAGCCCCACCCCCTGCTTTTCCTCCCCGCTGTGAAGGAGCTAGATTCCTTCTGTTTGGAAATGACACATTGGGCCTCACGTGAGAGGCTCCAACTTGGAACAGACCCAGAGGGCTGGCGTACCCAGCCCGGGGGGCTGAGCAGACAAGCCTGGGTGCTGGCCGTGTGCTCGCGCATCTGTCCATGCTGCATAGCCTGGTGTGAGGGTACACGGGTGTCTGGTTTGTGGGGATGACTCAGGGGGGCTGTGTGCCTGTTCCAGGTGCTGCTGAGTGCCCCGCACATGTGTGTCCCTGAGCACACATGTCACCATGCAGCCTGTGGAAATGCAGGTGTCACCCTGTTGGTCTGGAGCCAGGATGACTGTGTACACGTGTGTCTGTATTTGGTGTGTGTCTGTCTGAGTGTTGCCCAACTGTGGAACTTGTTAATTCTGACAAGCGAGGCAGCCTCTATCTCCCTGCCTGCTCCACCCCCAGTTTCCACTTGGAAGACAGACAGACAGGCAGACAGACAGCTCTCCTCCCAGCTTGTCAAACTCTGTCTCCCCTGACTCCTACTCAAGGCTCACAGGTGTGTACCTGGGAAGTGATGAACTTGCCCTTCCACTCCACCTTCCCGAGACCCACTGCTTGGCCAGCACCCCTCCCCCGCAGGTTGGTTTGGATTTCTGTGTTGGGTTTCCTCAGCGATAGAACCCCTGGGAGCCTTCTGCCATAAGCCTGGGTGCTGCACCGTCCTCACCTGGCCCTAGAAGCCTCCTGGGGAGCGGACCACTGGGGAGTGAGGGGGAGGCTACTGCTGGGCTGCTATGTCCTTTGCCGCACTGGGCCATGCTGAAGCCCTGGGGTGGAAGGTAGGAAGGACCAGGATAATCTATCATCCCCATTCTGTAGACGAGAAAACCAAAGAGCAGAGAGGTGTGATGGGTGTAATACGTGGTGGGTGAGTGTTTGGACTCAGGTCGCTTAGCTCGAAGGCTCTGGTGTCCAGTCAGGGGCTTGGGACCTGCTCCATCACTTTCCCTACTAAGCACCCCCTTTCAATTACGATGCTTGAGGGTAACCTGGGGCTCCCTCATGCTGGAGCTCAGTTTCCAGTGGTGCCAGGTGGAGCAGAAACCCGAGTTCCTGGGGCTTGGCCAGCAGCCATCCAATGCCAGTGGTGGGCACAGGAGGCAGGTCCACGTGGGGCATCTCTGCTTCCTAAAGCCAGCCGAGGCTAGAGCAAGCACCTAGTCCACTTCCCTCTGAGGTCGAGGAGACACTGCAGCTTGGAGAGGAATCTGAGCACCCCCCTCCCACCCCGGGGTCAGCCAGCAGGTCAGCGGTGCGTTAAAACTTGACCAGTCCCTGCCCATGGACTTGGACTCAGGCTGCCCTCTGCTGGGCTGTCCTGGTTTGCGGCTGAGGCTCTTGCGCGGTGGGGCTGCGTGCGCTTGTGCGCGTACACGTGGCTGAGTGTGGGGGTGTTAGGCCTCCACGCTCAACATCCATTTCCGAGTCTGAATCAGGCTCTCTCCTTGCCCCCTCCCCCCAATCTCCTTGGTCTCCCTTTTCTCTTCTCCCACCGCCTCTGCACACGTCCCTTTAGAAATAAAAACACTTATTTTGTAGGCGGGAGAGGAGGGTGTCCAGCTTCTCCCTCCCTCCTCTAGAGTGTCCTCCTCAGTCCCAAGCGGTTTCCTCTTTAAGCCGGTGCTGCCGCGGAGGCAGAGGGTGACGCCGCTCCCTCACCCCCGCCCCTGCCCTGGCTGTATGACTCTGCTCTGCCCAGGTCTCCATGGCTAGGTCCCACGACCAGATGGGGAAACTGAGGCAGGAAGGGAGAAGGGCGATAAGGCCGGGAGAAGCTCTCCCACCCGGCTCTCTCACCGCCCCCGCACCCGCGCCCGATTTAGCCACAGGGAGGCTGGGAACATTGTCTTTATTTTAAGCCGCCGAGTGCGGCACGAACGCTGCTGCTCGCGACAAAGGGCTTTGCGAAGCAGCGGCAGGCAGCGCACGTGGGGCCCCCCCCCTTACCCCCACCCCCGTCGCGCGACCCGCAGCCGCTCTGGAGCGGCGGGGCCTGACCTCAGCCAGTTCTGTCTTCTTTCTGGCCGGGTGGGACCCGGGCTGGCGCAGGACATTTGGATCTTCGCTCCTGTCGGTTGCTACTTTCGGTCTCTTGGCTGAGGATTCACTCCTCCAGGCCACCGAGGGAGCGCGGGATCGTCCCTGCGCCGCTGGGCCCCTCTCTCAGCCTCCCCACCGTGGAGGAGGGGAGAAGCGGCCCTGGGTGCGAATCCGATTCTGTCTCTTCCCAGTTGAACCTCATGTTGGTGCCCCTCTCTAAGTCTCCAGGTCAGTTTCTTCATCAGTGTCGTGGGAGTTAGAAACATCTCTCTGACGGCGCTGTTTGATGATTAGTGGCAGGTTAAACGTGGCGCTGGCGTTTGCCTGCAAGTGAAAGCCGTTATTGTTGTTATTTATAACTCGCACTGAGCACTTCCTATGTGCCAGGCGCTGCTAAGCGTTCTGCATTCACGAACTGGTTTGTTTTTCACAACTCTCTCAGGGATGTTCTTATTATTCCCATTTTACAGACGAGTACATTGTACACGGGGTGCGCATCCCAGGGGATTCGCCCAGGGTGCAGTCCATGTGCCTGGCGCTGTTCTCGGGCTGGGGTCGGGGTGGGAGTATGCAGGGGGCAGTTCTAGGACGGCAGAGACCCGTGGGACAGCATTTTAAAAAGGCGGGGATCCTGGCCGAATGTCTCGAGGGGGTGGGGGAAGGAAGTGAGCGCACTCCGGGGTGTTTAAACGCTTGTCGTCGGCTCGAACCCTATTCAGGTCAAACCCAGATAATGTTGCCACTTCTCGGTGATGTCTCCTCAGTCCTGGGAGGAGGCCGAAATGGGAGATCTTCCTCGCCCTCACCAGACCTTTGAAGCCGAGCTGGTGGCCCTTATTTCCTCGGGAAGGGGCGAGGGTTGGTGTTCTCACCTGCCGTCGAGGGGCCTCCATTGGGAACCCGGGAGCAGGGCAGCTGGTCATCTTGAGGGCATCCCTCCTTTCCCCTCACCGTTGTTTCAGGCCCTCAACCACGCCCCTATCCCCCACCTCGAAGGCGAGGACCCCCGGGGGAGGCTAATTCCCAGATTTAAAAGGACGCTAAAATCCAGGTTGGGGCTGCGGATACAGTAGGCCTATTAAGGGCCCCGGGAGTCCCTACCGCCGGAGGGCCAGGGCTAAAGTGGCCACAGTAAAAGGCATCATCTTGGGACAGGAAATCGGGTTTTCTGGGTCTGGTTCCGAAATCAAGGCCACGTAAAAACAATACCCCTCCACGTACAGGGTGCTTCACCTCCCCGCGGAGCTCTGCTGGGAGCCTGGGGATGGTGGGGGGAGGGCTGGAAAGCAGTTCCACTTTCCTGCTCCAAAGCCTCGAGATCAGCTCCCGAAGAGAGGGGGTTGGGGCGGCCCTGAGCGGAGCGCTCCCCAATCCTTACAGAGGGTCGAGTGACGCAGCTGAGTTCAGGGCACCTGGGGTGGGACCGGGGTGATGAATGCTGAGAACCGAGGCAACACATCCTGGACGAGTCTGATTCTCGGTGGGGCCCGCCGCAGCGAGGAGCTGCGTTCCCGCAGGCCGTCCCGGAGCGTTCTCTGTCCCGCCTATGAGGACCGGACCTCGAAGTCCAGGTCGCTTGCTGCCGCCGAGGAGTTGGACGCATCGTGGACGCGAGGCCTCGACGAGGAAAGAGGCGCGTTCCCTGGCGCTCCGGAGGCTGGTGCTTCCCATTCAGATCTCTGTGGCCAAAAACAGCCCGAAAAATCTAATGAACGGCGTTGTCAGTGGACATCGAGCCCCCAAGTTTTCCACCACATGGTATACGCGCCGGCGCCCAGGGCTAGGCCCGACGTGACACTGCTGGAGACAAGTCCGGGGGATGGGGTGGGGGAGCTTCGGGCCGGAGCCCGGACCTGAGGTTCGGATTCCCAAGGCTTCTCTCCCCAACTCTCCATCTCCATAGCGGAGTGACCCGGTTAGGCAAGACCACTATCGGGGTCCCCTGTCCCCGACTCTGTTCAGTTTGCTTCCTTTCCTCGTAATAGCCCTCCCTCGACTCCCAGACTCCCGTGGGCGTCTACGCCCTGTCCTCGAGTCACCACCGAGGCGCAGACCAAAGCTCCTAGCTCACTATGGCGAAGAGTGGGACCGGGCCGGGCGAGTGGCACCTAACTAAGCCCACTCCCTCTCCCACCCACCTCTCGGCGAGACCCTGACCCCCGCCTGGTTCAGCAAGTCCAAGGGTGGGCAGGGTCCGTCCCTCATGCTTCCCGACTGCTCCGGGTTGTCCCGGCCTGCCTGCGTTGGCTGCAGCTGTACCCACAGCTCTCCGCACCGCCCGCCGCGCCCCCTAGCGGCCTGCTCAGCTCGGTGCCCAGATGGGCACGGAGAGAGGCTGGGTGTCTGGGGTGGGGTGTGCCTGGTACCAAGAGCCCATTTTCCTTCGCGGAGAGAATAAGAATTAATAATTAATAATTAATAATAATAATAATAATAATACAAATTCCTCCTTCATGCCCTGAGTGGAGGCCTTTTGTTGACGGGGTGAGTAAGGGATGGTGCAGATCTAACTCTCAGAAGGAAGAGGAGCTAGCTGCCCTTCACTGAGTCTTACTCCTGGCTACCGCATTCACAAGCGCTTTACGTGCACTTTCTTTTTTAATTCTCATAACAGCTCCAGGATCAGGCGCAATTCTGATATCAATTTTATGAATAGAAAACTGAGGCCCAGAGAGGTTAGGGTCAGCCCTCTGGGCTCCTTTACAGTTTGTAGGTTTTGCTTCCAGCTTGGAGCCTAACCAGCTGATAATCCTC